ATATAATGAAGTTAATGAATACTTTTACTAATAATTAAATGTGCGATAAAACACGTAAACGTCTATAACTAGAGTACAGTTATGGATGTGATTAACACGAAGTGAAATACAATTTCAAACATCTTCTCTGCGGACGCTTTTGTTGAAACAAAAACTAAAAAACTTTGCAAAACAAGTGGTGAAAACAAGTTTTCTCCCAAACTTTTATTTTCAAACAAAACTTGATTTTCAAAAGTGTTATGAATTGGGGAATTGAATAGACTTTTAATAGTAACAAAAATGAGGTCAAAACTATCACATGTATGGCCTGAATGGCCCCGGAATATAAACTTAAGCTGAAAAATCTATAGAAAATATTTTTGGGCATCAAATTAGTTCAAAAAACTTATTAAAGTTGAATGAAGTCTCCCTTTAATACATTTCATACTATAATATATTTGAAGGTTTACTTCGGATATTATGAATGTTTGTATTTTTACTTTTATACTGTTTTATTAGTTATATGTAATATTTTATAATACATTATATTTAGCTTTAAACTTAACTTACAATCAGACACAGAATGTGACTATATTTTTAACATAAGTTTTACAAAAATAGCAATCATTTAATTCAATACATAAGATAAACACTTAAATAATGGAAAGTATAAAACATTAAAATTATATTTATATACAAAGTAATGAATGTAAATAAAAATTGCATTCAATTTATAATTTTTGATGAATTATTATAAAATTAGTTTAGATATACCAAAAAAGTGTGAATTATATTTATATTAGATAAAATAATAGATTTAATATTTGATATATGAAGTAAAAATAATATTAACAAATAAAATATTACACAAAAATTATCAAAAATAATTAAGATAAGGGATTCCGTAGTCGTATCGCTGTCTACGATAATAATTCCGGTTATATAAGGAGCTATAGTTTGGCGGATAGACCGGGAAATCCCGATATGGAAAGTGGACGTTGTGTTGACTCCCATAACCATACGCTCTGTTGTAGTAATCGTATCCTTCAATCGATTGATGATATGTTAACAAAAATATTAACAAACTTAACGTTAACTGAAATCAAGAAATCATTAATATTTTATAGCATAAGTATCTGAAATTGTGTAAATGTCTCAAACAGATCATACTTACGGAATAATAATTAAGCATTTTGTGATTAAATGCTGTTTTAAAGACAATTTTATAATGTAAATGAAATTTTAATAAAGTTACAAAACTATTTATACGAATACTTTTCAATGACAATAATTGTCTCCAATATTTCTATTGATATTCAAATTAAAAGTAAATGTTTTATAAATTTAAAATTGAGGATATTTTGGGCGTTTCTTCTGATATTCAAAGCATTGTTTAGGAATTGGTTTGAATTAAATTTAATTTATCGTATATTTTACTATTGTTTGGGACAAACTCTAATGATTACGTAAATGATATCCAACTGATATGCTTTCCGTTTGTTTCCCTATTATTGACAAAACAGCTTATTATCCTAGAAGATGTTTGAAATTGTATTTCACTTCGTGTTAATCACATCCATAACTGTACTCTAGTTATAGACGTTTACGTGTTTTATCGCACATTTAATTATTAGTAAAAGTATTCATTAACTTCATTATATCTTTAACAAAATTGTAATTTTGCTACAATGTCATAATTATTAACAATGTTATTTTTTGTATATTAAATTTAGATTTAAACTTAAATCTATAAATAAACCTGATTATTAACTGTTGCAGAAGTCAAAGCAATAATAATAATAATATTTTCACAAAAATGGATAAACTGTTAAAATCGTGGAATGAATGTGAAGAAGAAGTGTCGGCTAAACTGAAGGGTAAGTTTTAGGCGATTATGTAAATAAAAGACTTGTTTTACATTTACATAAATATTTTTTATTTCTTATTATAAAGGCTTACTATTAAAAACTAATAGTCAATAAACTCTTTGCTGTTGTTTTTATTTGCAAACATGTTTTTAGTAAAGAAATTTATTTAGATATTTATACAAACTTTTTAATAACAAGTTAGCATTCATTTTAACAATATAACAATTTTTATTTTATTATTTGTAAATATACATTTAATATTAATGATATACAATGTTAAATGATCAAGCTTGGTTTTTGCTTCTTTTCAAAATTTTATTTATATTTTAAATTAATTTAATAATTAAAGGAGAAATTCCGGAATGGATTAATGGCCACATATTTAATATTAATGATATACAATGTTAAATGATCAAGCTTGGTTTTTGCTTCTTTTCAAAATTTTATTTATATTTTAAATTAATTTAATAATTAAAGGAGAAATTCCGGAATGGATTAATGGCCACATGATTAGGTTAGGACCGGGCAAATGGGACCTAGGTGATGATTTCCGGCTTAATCACTGGCTCGACGGCTGTGCACTTCTTTGTAAATTTTCAATAGAAAACGGAAAAGTTTTATTCAAATCAAAATATTTAGAGTCCGACGCCTATAACAAAATGGTCTGAATTGTAATACAATTTATGATATAATTTAATAATGGGTTGAAAACATTGAATATGAAGGTAACGGTGAATAAGCCGGTGTTTACCGAGTTTGGGACGCGAGCCTTCCCGGACCCGTGTAAGAACGTGTTCGCACGATTCTTCTCGCAAATAGTTCCCAGCGATTTGACGGACAACGGATGTATTGGCATATATCGACTCCGGGATCAGTATTACGCCGCTGGACGCGAGCCTTCCCGGACCCGTGTAAGAACGTGTTCGCACGATTCTTCTCGCAAATAGTTCCCAGCGATTTGACGGACAACGGATGTATTGGCATATATCGACTCCGGGATCAGTATTACGCCGCCTCTGAGACCTGCAATGTTTGGCGCTTTGATAGCAACACATTGAATGCCAGAGAAAAAGTATATCTCTTATTAGTCATATTCATTATTGATTATTAATTTTATATTGAATTATAGATCAATTTAGACAAACTGGTCGGGGTTAATTTAGCCAGCTCGCATGTACAGCACATGCATTCCGAGCCGTTTGCTTACAATTTAACGTCAAGTTTTTTGAAAGGTTTAAAATACCACATCATTAAAATACCCGTTCAACACAACGGGCAAGAATTGGAGCAAAACAAAGGTGTGATTGTTAGACAAGTTTTACAATTTTCAAAAACAAAACTAATCGTCTCTTAATGAACACAATTGAAAGACGAGAGTGTATTCGCAAAGGCGTCGATTCTGGTGTCAGTGCCGTCGAGTTGGAGCACTTGTATCACATATTATCACAGCTACGGCATCACCAAAAACTATATCGTATTTCTGGAGCAGCCATTGTTAGTGAATGCGTTCAAATTGGCCACTTGTACACCAAAAGGCAAACCATTGAAGGATTGCTTCGAGTGGTGTCCCGACGAAAAGGTGAACATTATTTAGTGTTCATTGAATTGATCATAATATTTGAAATGTTGCTTTCTTTAGACCAAGTTCTATGTCGTGGAAAAGTCGAGCGGAAAAGTGGTTTCCAAATATCTTTCTGAATCTATTTTCCATTTCCATCACATCAACGCCTATGAAGACAATAATCATGTCGTGTGTGATATCATAACATACGACGACTCGTCTATACTTGAAAAGTGGACTTTAGATAAGTTAAGAGCCAATGAATGGGATGTCAAGAGTCCTCCCATTCCTCGCAGATATGTCTTACCATTGCCTACGGATAAGAAAGTATAAGCCATAGTAAATGCGTTTCTCGTAAATCCTATGCAATAATAATTATTATTTCAGTTTGAATTCGGGAAAAATTTGGTTTCGCTTGAAAATAGCGAAGCAAAGGCTGAGTTGAATGAAAAGGGAAATATATGGCTCACTCCCGAACAGTTGGGAATTCCCGGCTTTGAATTACCGACTATTAATTATAAGCATTTCAATGGACGGAAGTATAGATATTGCTATGGAAGCGGTGTCTTTGAAAGGGGACACTTCGCTAATGCCGTAATTCACACCATTTCGCACTTTAAAGTTATATTAGACTAATGTTCAATCAATTCAATTAGATCTGCAAATTAGATGTCTTAACAAAAGAAGCCCTAATATGGAGGGAATCGGAAACCCTATATCCGGGCGAATGTGTATTCATTGGACGACCCGATGCTGTCGATGAAGACGACGGCGTTGTCTTATGTATTGTTTTAGACTCAGACGAAACGAAACCACATTTCTTACTAATACTGGACGCGAAGTCATTCAAAGAGATCGCCAGAGCGGAGATCCATAGGAATGAGGCTCACATTCCGGCCACTATTCACGGCATATATACTTCTAACTAAACGTTTTTATAAAGATGTTTTTCTGTCAAATAAAACATGATTTTTAGATAAATAAATGGATGTTTACTGATAAATGTACAGTATTATCAAAATGTACGAGTTAAATTATAATTGTGACCCCAATAATAATCATGTGACCAAAATCGATAAATTGCTTCACACATTAATTTCTTAAATTAAAATCGGCGACAAAACAACGGTTGCGTGACTTTATTCATACAAATGTAAATAATATTCTTGTATTTAAAACATTTGAAGCATTAAATCCATCAAATGTCAGATTCATTATAATTAAGTGTATTATAACAAATTCAGATAAATAAAATGCATAAATAAAATAAATGCATAAATATTGTTAACACTAAATAAAGTTGATTTGAAACAACTGGTGAGAAATGACAATTGTTTTGAGACCATTAATCCTTATTATTATTATAGTATTATTGACTTTTCTTACGACAAATAATAAATAATACATAATAAACGAAACCACATTTCTTACTAATACTGGACGCGAAGTCATTCAAAGAGATCGCCAGAGCGGAGATCCATAGGAATGAGGCTCACATTCCGGCCACTATTCACGGCATATATACTTCTAACTAAACATTTTTATAAAGATATTTTACTGTCAAATAAAACATATTTTTTAGATAAATAAATGGATTTTTACTGATAAATGTATAGTAACTTATTATCAAATGTACGAGTTAAATTATGATTGTGACTCCAATAATAATTATGTGACCAAAATCGATAAATTGCTTCACACATTAATTTCTTAAATTAAAAGCGGCTACAAAACAACGGTTGCGTGACTTTATTCATACAAATGTAAAGAATATTCTTGTATTTAAAGTATTTAAAACATTGAATCCATCAAATGTCAGATACATTATAATTAAGTGTATTATAACAAATTCAAATAAATAAAATGCATAAATAAAATAAATGCATCAATACTGTTAACACTAAATAAAGTTGATTTGAAACAACTGGTGAGAAATGACAATTGTTTTGAGACCATTAATCCTTATTATTATTATAGTATTATTGACTTTTCTTACGACAAATAATAAATAATACATAA